TACCAGTGGACGGCAAGAATTGAACGCAGGCAATGTGAGTTGGATGTCGATTCTCATACCACCTTTTTGTGATTATGTGGACTTTATAAGATGACATGATATGTTATGATATGTTCCCCAAAATCTTCCAGAGAGGGTGCCTCTTTTTGCAGCTCATGCTAGTGTTTTCCATCTGGAACCTTCTTTCTTGTGATTTGCTGGGTGGTAAATCTAGTTGAATTTTCATGTATCTTTGCAAATATGCAGTGGAAAGCTTCTCCTTCACAAGGGGATGGATAATCTGAGAAATCCATGTGCGTGTGCATCAGCCTGCGCTGTGTTCTGCCGATGCCAAGCTGTGCTGCATGATGGAAGCAAGTCTGAGACACTTGGTTCTCTGCACTTTTTTGTTCCCTGTGAGATTTTACAATTCTCTGGTTCCTAACTTTTGAAACCTCACCTCTCCACCTTCTACGACTGCCAACATTAGAAAAGTAGCAAGACGTGGCATGCTGCTCTGTGTACAGGACTTCATTCACTCTTTCTTGTGATGGTGCAGAGCTCAAGGTTTGGCAGAGATACCTGTGATTGGCAACATCAAGACAGGTAGAGGAGGAACTTCTCAGACAGGTGTAACTTCCCACAGGTGCAGAGGAGTTCTGCACATGTCCCTCAGCTCCCTGTCATTAGGGATAAGCAGAAAAGGAGAAGGTTTGGAACTTTGTATGAGGACAAGTCTTCTGAGGAAGGGAAAGGAAGACCACGTGGATGGCTAAAAACCCACTGCTGCCAGTCCAAGTTTCCATCTTCTCCCAGGAGAGCATTTAGCTTATATCTTCACAGCAAGGATGAGTCCACTTCAGAAAATTTAATTGTCCCATCTACCAGCCCTAGCTCACAAGATAACATTGAAAAAGACACTGACCTCTTTGTAGTGGGAAAAACTGACAGTGGGGTGAGCTTTACAAAGCTATTCCTCACAACGATAGCATTTCATACAAACCAAGGGCAAGCACACATCCCAAGGTGACTCCCAAGCCCACCGCCAAAGTCCCCTTTGCTCTGTATTTCCCCTATTAATATGCCAGCAAAACTCACCAGGCAGGAGTGAGTATTTTTCAGTCCTGCCCCATTTAAGCCTGGAGATATCAGGGGGGAAAAAAAACGGAAACAGAAAATATGGACTCAATGCTTACTATGTGCTGCAGGCCATGAGAAATATCAAAACCATAAAACATGGTCATTGATCTCCCTCAAAGAGATTACAATATACTTGAGTAAATTAAAAATGAAATAAAAAAGCATTTGTGCTACAGTTCAGTACACTAGTCAAAGAGGGCCACCAGGCAGGAAATGATTAACTGGAAAATGATTGGAACAGGCTGTAGTTTGTATTGAGAAATGTGAATTCACTCCCCTTTTTTGGAATTCGGGTCTGGTTTATCATGCTGACTTACTCTTAAGAGAGGTGTTTTTTGGGCAAAGGGCACAGGAAAATTCTTTTATATTTGTGTCCTGAAAAGAACAAGGCGACGTTTCTTCCAGCCAGACTACCACTGTTACAGGCTTGTGAACCTGGCTGGCTCTCAGGACACCATGACAGGAAGAGTGTGCTGGGACTGATGCGTCATAGGAACAAGACCCATTTTTGTGTCCTCAAAAGCCCCAAAGGGAGGGGGAAGTCAAAAGCATGCTGAAAGAGATGACGCTGGTGGGTTTGCGAGGCAAAGAAGTAATTGTGTAAGTTTCAAGGCACCTGGTGAACAGCGGGATTTGGATAAATTTATGGTGTTTCAGTGGACGGTGAAATAATATTCCAGGGTCTCCAGTGATATTTATGACTGAAAGTGCTGGAAAGGAATGGAAGGAAGATACCTCTTCCCAAGCCCTTTTCCTACCCTGCCGATAAACCTGCACCCTTCTTTGTGTGCAAAAAATTTGTTAAGAGGGATAAGGTTCCTATTTCTTCTCTCATAAATATGCATCCTTTTCCCCTCCTGATTAACAAATCTGAGACCTTCAATGAGTCACTTAGTCTTTGAAAAAGAAACTAGGAAAATTTTCTGTCTGTCAAAGTGAAGAAAATGCAAGGGGGTTAGCCATCTGTTTGAAGCACTGAGTGAGAAATTGAAACACAGATGAGGATGGGAATCCAAATGTATGTTGCTCAGATAGTGCAGCAATTACACGGAAAATTTTTTATAAAAAAAATAGTACATTGAAAACCCCTGGAGCTTGGGCAGAAGCAAACCAATAAATCCTCTGTGGGAACATTTATATAACCCAGTGCTCTTGGAGGATCATGGTGTTTAGAGGGAGAACACTTCTGCAGAGGATTCACTCATGATCAAAAGTTACAAATGTCACATGGGAGCAGCCCATCTTGAGGCTTGGAGCACAGCAAATAGAAGAATGAGAAGCCCAAGCATTAATCTGTATGATTATAGGCTTAAAATTATCATATATGTAAAAGTTTAAAAAATCATAATAAAACAATAGGGTGTTATGATTTTTTTAAAAAACAGGCAGAACTGTAGAAGATCCAGATGAATGTCCTAGTTAAACAGATTAAAATTAAAACACAAATTGGAGGTAGTGGTGCGTGCTTGTAATCCCAGCACTTGGGAAGCTGAGGCAGGAGGGTTGCCGCAAGTTTGAGACCAGCTTGGGATACATAGGGAGTTCAAGACCAGCCTGGACTACACAGTGAGATCCTGTCTCATAAAACTAAAATAAATAAATTAATTCATAAAACTAAATATTAGTAATGAAAGAACAAATGAACTAGAAAAAGAACTCAGTGGGAATCATCTAACTGCAGCCCAGAGAAATAGGGAAAGCTAAAACAAAGTTAATAACCTAGAGGGTAGAATGAGAAAGTCCAGAATATTTTAAAGAAAATGTTTAGGAAAACAAAAGAATTATCACAATTCATTTGGGAATTGCTAAGTAAAACAATCAGATAATACCACATCTCTATTAAAATGGCAAAATCCCAACACTGACAACACTATTCAATGCTAGTGAGAAGGCAGAGCAATAAGAGCTTTCTTTTATGACTGGTGGGAATGTGCAATGGTCCAGTCACTTGGGAATTGAGTTTCCTGCGATGTAAAACATTCTTCCCATACAACCCAGCAACCATTCCCCAGCTCTGGGTATTTACCCAAATGAGAGGAAAATATGTCTACCCAAAAACTTGCACCTATGTTTGTAGCAACTTTTATTTGTAATTGCCTAAAGTTCGAGGAAATTAGGATGTCTTTCATTAGGTCAGTGGATGAACAAATTGTGCTTCTAGATTTAACCAGCCAGGAAAAGACATAGAGGATCTGTAAAGGCATCACTCAGTAAAAGAAATCAGTCTGAAAAGGCTACATACATATGATTCCAACTCTATGACATTCTGGAGAAGACAAAATCATAGAGACAGTTAAAAGATCTGTGACTGCCAGGGTTTGGAAGGGGCTGAGAGAGGAATGATGGGGAAAAACGGATAGGATGAAGAGTTAATATTCAAAATGATAATACATGGGATTTTTTTTCAGAATCCAAATTTTGAGTTTTTAGATTGAAGTATTATACAAATTCCAAAGCCCAAATAAGACAAATTCACACCTATATACCCACACTGGAAACAAAATAAAAGCCTCAAAAGTAATTCAAGAGGAAATGCTGATTGCATAGAAAGTAATGACAAGGAAAACATTAACCACTTTTTGGCAATCCAGATCAGGAGAAAATTTAGTAACATCTTCAAAAGGCCAAAGAAAAAATCATCATCAACAGATATTTTCATGTTCAAATCATTCAAGAGTGAGAACAAACCAAAAATTATACACATTAATTTCATAAAAATTAAAGACACCAATATGAAATAAAAAATCGTGATTAACCTCTTCAAAAGAGAATCAGTAAAAACATTTGAAGCATTTATCTTTCTCCAAATATCCTCTACTTCACCTTAGAAATCACTTATATATATCCATCCACAATACAGTCATACTTTGCGTTTAATATTATATACATCTTCTTTGGTTATCAGTATCCTTGAAAAATAATTTTGAATGTTGAATCATAGTCTAAGTGCCATAGTGCAGTGATTGCCAGACAGTTAGTGTAATTACTAGACATTTATATCTGTAGACTTCTCCTAAATGGTGGCTGGTTAAAACTCACATAAAAGAGAGAGATAATGGTGGTAAGCATGCCTACATTTTTACTTTTTCATTGAAAAAACCCACCTGCTTTTTAAATTGCCTACTGAAATGTGAAGGTATTCAGTTTGCAAGGGCCAGTTCAGGGCCAATGATGTACTTTTCAATTAAACTATTGTGCCCTAAGCGTACTGCTCATGAGTAACTTTTGAAGTAATTCTGGATGTTCTAAAAAGATGTGAAAAAAGAAATACTTTATGTGAGGACTACCAAATGCCAGGCACTATTCTAGGTGATTGATTTCTTCATAAAAATAAATAGTAGCAAAGGCTATTACTTTGAGAACCATGTACTTTAACAAAAAATATGTAATGTGTACATAAGCTTTATATATATATATAATACATATATATGTAATTTGATCCTTACCACAACTCTAGGAAGTATGCACTATTGCTCTACACATTTTACAGACAAGATAAATGTGGCTCCAAGGTTACAGAGCTAGTAAATGATGAACTGATCCTTGAAATGAAATTTTCCACTGTATCATGCTGCTGGTTAATCCCCGTGGCTGGTTTATTCCGAGTTTGAGTAAGTGTAGGTAGTAGAGATAGGGGAAACAATATAATAATGACCAAAACCAAATCATTCCAGGAAGTGTGCCAAATTTGCCGTACAGATATGTTATCTGATTCAGGCAGGTGTTGTTATCATCACTACACTCAACGAGTGAGCAACCAAGGAGCAGTGGAGCTCAGCAGCTTACCTTAAGGTCACTCATGTCTGTCCCTCACCCAGAAGTGTCCACCCTACAGCACACATTCTGGTGCTCACTGCCTGTGGGTGTTGTGTTCTGTGCAGGTGAGATGGAGGAGCTGGAGACACTGTGGCTCACGGGCATCTGTCACAATGAGAAGAACGAAGTGATGAGCAGCCAGCTGGACATCGACAACATGGCGGGTGTGTTCTACATGCTGGCAGCAGCCATGGCCCTCAGCCTCATCACCTTCATCTGGGAGCACCTCTTCTACTGGAAGCTGCGCTTCTGCTTCACGGGCATGTGCTCTGACCGGCCTGGGCTGCTCTTCTCCATCAGCAGGGTCAGTACTGCCATGGCCATTTCCACCTGGAGCAGACAGGTTCAGAAAAGCCCTGGGAGATTAGAGAATCTGACATTTGGAAATTCTCTTTGAGATCTTCATGGCCTCCCCTCACTTAGTCACTCTTAGGCTTGTCAGAGGGTGTCTAGACTTTCCTCTTGCATAAACCAGCAATTTCAAACTCAGAAGACTGTAGGAACCAGAATGGAAATGGGAATGGGAATGGGTGGAGTTGGCTGGGAATGAGGCAAATGGCACAAATGAGATGAAGCATAACAGCTAAGCTTGGATGCCAAAGTGAGAGGACATCAAAATACCAGAGACTGTGGCGAGTAGAGTCATGTTTGCCCCAAAAGGGATTGGCTAGACTCAGCCCCTGCTAGGTATTAGCTTATGGCCATTAGAGCCAATATTATCAGGTGGTCTAGTTTTTAAAAGTGAAAGTATTATCTTATTGAATGTAGAACCTTTCAATTTTTCAATATTAATAACTAATCCTATAAAAAGTAGGGGCCAAATAAAGCCTCCCTCTTTGGTCTGTATCATTGGCACCCAGATACATCATACCATACTGCTAACATTCGAGTGCAGGAAGTTACAATTTATGCATATGTTGCAACATAACATGGGCAACAAGACAATCTACATGAAATGCTACATAGTATATACACACTTTAACAAAACGCAAAAAGTACGTGCAATCCCAGCAAGGACTTAAACTGAAACACAGATGAAAAGTACCAGAAGAAAATGCACATGCATAAAACAACAAAATATCCACTCTACACAGGCTAAACAAGCACAGGATACACATGCAACAGTCAACTACACGCAATACAGTAGAGCCTCCTTTCATGTAGCACATTATGGCATGTGTGTCGCTATCAATGTACATGTGACACAGCTCATCAATAATGGCAACTATCCTGGAAATATTTATACTGTATTTATGGAGCACTTATATGTGCTAGCCACAATATGAGGACTTCATATTCTTCATGTAATTTAATCTACAAACAAACTATGAGGTGGATATGGGTATTAGTTCTAGATTGCAAATGGCAAAATTAAAAGGTAGAAGCTAAGAGAACTACCCCAGATAGCTCAGCCGGTAAGGTGGAGACAGGATTTCAATCCAGATAGTGTGGCACCAGTGAAAACCCTCAGTCTTCCACAAACTAAAAACATTAAATACAAGCAATGCAAAAGATTTGATGCACTTCATACTTCAAACATACGCACATGCAACTTACAGATGTTCATACATGTAACAAACCTAATCACTTACATGTATTAAAATAAAAGCCCATACATATGTACTGTTTATGTATCTACCAATGTATCTATCTATCTATCTATCTATCTATCTATCTATCTATCTATCTATCTATCATGTATCTCTTTCTTCCATTTACCTACTTCGGTAGTTTTGTTCACCCTGGAAGAATTTAATGAATTGGGATTTGAAATGTGGTGAAAATTCTTTGGTTAAAAACATCTTATTTTATATGCTAATATTTATTGGGAAAACAAAGTAATCGCTTTAAAGTAAATTTGTATAGTCTTAGTATTTGGTAATTTTAAGAACTTTGGAGATTTAAAAGGTACACATGAGCTTAGTGAGGAGGATTTATTTTCTCCATTCAATTGCACTCCAAACTTGGGTTCTGTGCAAATACATATTTCCTAATTAGCTTGATGGCATCTAAATACACAGATTGCTCAAAAATAACAACATGCATTCATATAGCTAGGTATTATGCCAACTTTAAACTAATTTTCCCAGCCAATTGCTAAAGGATTTTTATATCCAAATGATTCTGGGATTATCTTGAGCAAATGAACACTGTTGCATTTACTTGTAAATCTTGGTTGTTTTTCGAAGAGTGTATCCTCTATCTGGGAAGCCAAGTTGACAGAATCATCACTGTGAGAAATGGACTAAATCCCTCACTCCCGTTCCAAGCATCTTGAGGGAGGGGAATAGAGGGGAACTGGGCAGTGAAGGGGCAGACTTTGTGGTAGTGTTTTGTGACAGGTAGAATTTAAACTTCAGCCTCTTTTTCCCTAGGGCAGAGAGGGCCTTAGCTCTGTGAAACAAATGCACGGAGTTCTGTGTCCTTTTGGGATCTCCCAGCCACCAACACTGTTCTACCCTTAAAGGATACAAAGAGGCCTGCCTGAGCATTGGCTCTTCCCAAATCACATTTGTGTTTTAAAGTGCAGGAAAGCCTTTATGTATGGCAAGGAAAGCCTAATTCTTCAGGACTCTTTTCCTCCCTCTCTAGTTTATTAGGGGAATTTAAAATAAGCTCAAGGCCCTAACGTTGTATGTAGCAGGGCTCTGGGTTGCAAAAAGAAAATATGGAAAATGTTCTTGCTGTCTGATCAAGGGCTATCACCACCTCTAAAGCTTGTCTCCTATATGTCTTCACACATACTCTGTCTGACATACATGTAACTAACACAGTGCAGATAGCACATGGGAAAACAAAAGTCTGCTCACTGCACACACACTATCGTCCGCTTGCAGAAAATCTGCAGCAGGTAGCCCCCGACAGCAGTGCATTATGCCTGGTGTGAAGGCAAGAGCCTTGGTCAGATTTGTTTCCTATATCATCACTAATCCTCACAATACCTGTGAGGCTGACGTGATCACCCCCATCCTATGGATGGGGAAACTGAGACCCCAAACGTTAGAATGGGACATATGGGGCATCACTGTTTATTTCCTTGAAATGACAAGGTTCTTTTTACTCCACTCATCAGGCAATAAAAAAGCACAATCGAGAGAAATTTTCTGTTCCCACAGGATCAGGTCACATGCATTAGTCTACTTCAGAGTTTAAGGTTCATTCTAAGGCTGCTGATGTACAGTACTCTATTTATGTCTGTTTTAAGGCAGGTTTTCTCTACACAGAGCCTGGATCTATCCACTACGACCAGGTCTCCTTTGAGCACTTTGAGTATCCAGCTAATACAATTAACTAACACGCTGCAGCAAACACATCAGCCCTCCTTATGGCCTCCATGTCTCTGAGAAGCTCTTGGGGAGTATAATGCAAATGCTAACCTGAGATGCATTTGCACCACTGGCACTTCCGGGAGAGATGGCCAAAGCTGGAAGAAGATGTTTATTTAATGCAGGAACCAAGTGTCTCACATAGCTATGGCCCTTGTCTTTTATTACAACTTACAAAAATCCATTCCTCTGTCTACAGGATGCTCTTAAACTTTATTTTCTCTCCAAAATGCTTCTCCCATTCACCAAACTGGCTCACTGCCGCCACAAAAAGAGCCACCATGGTTGTCTCCTGAAATGTGAGGAATGGGAGACATAGTGAAGCCAAAGCCCAAGGGTGTAGGAACCATGGCTCCCTTCTCAGGGAACAATGTGGGGAGCTTAGAAACAGAGTGGGAGATGCTTTGGGCCGACCACGATGAGGATCAATAGAAACTGGACACTTGAGGGATTGGGCTCAGGATGGAAGGCAGACAGTAGACTTCTGAGGAGACAATGTTCTGAGGGGTCAGGCACCCTCTGGAGGAGCAGAGCAAATGGTCTGGAATGACACCTTTAGTCTTCGATGCTAATTTTATTTGACTCAGCATACACTGAGGGACCAAGAGGGGATCTTATTTCCAGAACCCATAACATGTACCCAGAGTGTATGAATAATAGAGAATAGAAATAGACAGAGAAAGAGAGAGAGAGAGAGAGAGAGAGAGAGAGAGAGAGAGAGAGAGAGGTGCAGCAAGGACAGAAACTCTAGTTTAAGGGTTTATTCAGCTTCCCAGATAGGATTTGGGTTGTTTGTCTCACCAGAAAGCCAAAGTGGCTGTCCAGAACTACCTTCAGTATGAAAAAATAGTATACATTTTTCAAAGCTGTGACAAAATGGACATTGCATGCTCAAGCTGGTCTGAAAGGAGAAAGAAGTAAGGGCAGGCCGGAGGTGATTGGACAGTTTCTCTGGCCCACGTGTATTGAGCACCTATGGTGTTAGGTGCCTCATTTGCATTATTTTATCTTGTGCTTGCAGTATATGATTCCTGTGTTACAGATGTAGAAATTGAGGCTCATATAGGTTTAATTACTTAACAAAGCCACAGGGCTAATATGATAGAGATAGAGCTGGGACTCAGGTCTGGTGACCTCCAGGCCTCTGAGTCTTCCTGTTAATACGCACTTCCTTATTCAACGGTCCATTGATCCATTCAGTTGGAGCAGGCTGTCATCAACACCTGGAGCACAGACTGGGTCCATCATGTTGCCTCCTGTTTGTGGCTGAACCAGGCAGATCAGCACCTAGAAACTTCCTTAGCTGTGCCACATTCATCCCACGGACAAAAGGACCAAGAGAGCAGCCAACCTCCCATCTAACTGCCATGCAGGAGGGCCCTGACCTCCAAACACGAAGACAGCCAGCTCATCCAGCCAGGAGGAAGCATATTTCTCTGAGGGTGAAAAGGGCAGAGGGAAATTCTTAGAATATCCAGGATGGAAGAGGGGAACTTGTTAGAACAAAATTTCAAGCTAGGAAAAAAAATTCAAAATGACTCTTTTTATAATACTACTAATAAGAAAAGAGATAGACATCGGGTGTTTCTGACATGCAGGAAATACACCAGTTTCACCTGTACTGCCATAATCCCTCTAGGTAGAGTGTAAGATGATTATATTGCTAAATTGGTTGAGGAAGGCGTAGGTCACGGTCTAGGTGGAGCACCACCACACTGTGTGAAGTGCATTGCACATCTGTATGATTTTCACATCCACAGTTGGGAAGCTCCAGCCAGCCAGGAAACCACAGGGAGGAGACGTGGGCTTGTCAGGATGAATAGCAGTCACACAGGATATAGAGAAACAGACTAATGATAAGGCTGCAGGAAGGAAGCAAAGGGTACAATGCCAGTGCATGGGGCCCCATGGAGCCTTCATTGTGAACCTTGAGTTGAGAAGATCAGAGAAAGAAATGCTCAAACTCACAAATGTCAGCTTTCCTTTTTATTAATCCAAGAAGGCTGAGCGGAGAAACTATAAGGAAAATGAAGCCATGTAAATGAGTTGAGGCTCTCACAGTCCGATGAGCGTCCCTCTGAGTTAAACTTGTCCCCACTATGGGTGACCAATGGACCCACCATTATCAGAGTCTGCAGTTACTCACATGTACAGTGCTTTCCCGTAGTTTATGACAAAGTCAGGAGCAGCTGCTGAATCTGCCTCATGCATTCCTTCTTGATGAGTCCCTGACAGTCTCTAAAAAACCTTCATTGAAGAAAATGATCAGGATTCAGGGGGAATGCCACTATTTTTTCTCCAGGGCTCCTACAAGAAGCACATATCTCACCTTTGCAGGTAAAGTGTAAGTGGAAAGTGGTTTTCAGATGATGGCTGTTGTTGATTGCTCTTTTGTGTTGCTCCCTCACAGGGCATCTACAGCTGCATCCATGGAGTGCACATTGAAGAAAAGAAGAAGTCTCCAGACTTTAATCTAACTGGGTCCCAGAGCAACATGTTAAAGCTCCTCCGGTCAGCCAAAAACATTTCCAACATGTCCAACATGAACTCCTCAAGAATGGACTCACCCAAAAGAACTGCTGACTTCATCCAAAGAGGCTCCCTCATCATGGATATGGTTTCAGACAAGGGGAATTTGATATTTTCAGACAACAGGTCCTTCCAGGGGAAGGACAGCATTTTTGGAGACAACATGAATGAACTACAAACGTTTGTGGCCAACAGGCACAAGGATAACCTCAACAACTATGTGTTCCAGGGACAGCATCCACTTACTCTTAATGAGTCCAACCCAAACACAGTGGAGGTGGCTGTGAGCACAGAATCCAAAGGGAACTCTAGACCCCGGCAGCTCTGGAAGAAATCCATGGAGTCTCTACGCCAAGATTCTCTGAGCCAGAATCCAGCCTCCCAGAGGGATGAGGGGACAGTGGAGAACAGGAGCCACTCCCTAAAGAGCCCCAGGTACCTTCCGGAAGAGGTGGCCCATTCTGACATTTCAGAAACTTCAAGTCGGGCCACATGCCACAGGGAACCCAACAACAATAAGAACCATAAAACTAAGGACAACTTCAAAAGGTCAATGGCCTCCAAGTACCCCAAGGACTGCAGCGAGGTTGAACGCACCTACCTGAAAACCAAAGCCAGCTCTCCCAGGGACAAAATCTACACCATTGATGGTGAGAAGGAGCCCAGTTTCCACTTAGATCCTCCCCAGTTTGTTGAAAATATATCCCTCCCGGAGAACGTGGGCTTCCCAGATGCCTACCAGGATCATGGTGAGAACTTTAGAAAGGGAGACTCCACACTGCCTGTGAACAGGAACCCCCTGCATAATGAAGACGGGCTTCCCAACAATGACCAGTACAAGCTCTATGCCAAGCACTTCACCTTGAAAGACAAGGGTTCCCCCCACAGCGAAGGCAGTGACCGTTACCGGCAGAACTCCACACACTGCCGAAGCTGCCTTTCCAACCTGCCCACATACTCCGGCCACTTCACCATGAGGTCTCCCTTCAAGTGTGATGCCTGCCTGCGTATGGGGAACCTCTATGACATTGATGAAGACCAGATGCTCCAGGAGACAGGGAACCCGGCCAGCCAGGAGGGGGTCTACCAGGAAGACTGGGCACAGAACAATGCACTCCAGGGGCAGAAGAACAAGCTGAGGATTAATCGTCAGCATTCCTATGATAACATCCTCGACAAACCCAGGGAGATGGACCTCAGCAAGCCTTCCCGGAGCATAAGCCTCAAGGACAGGGAGAGGCTCCTGGAGGGCAACTTATATGGGAGCCTGTTTAGCGTCCCTGCAAGCAAACTCTCAGGGAACAAAAGCTCCCTTTTCCCCCAAGGTCTGGAGGACAGCAAGAGGAGCAAGTCTCTCTTGCCAGACCATACCTCTGATAACCCTTTCCTTCACTCCTACAGGGATGATCAACGCTTAGTTATTGGGAGATGCCCCTCAGACCCTTATAAACACTCCTTACCATCACAGGCAGCAAATGACAACTACCTTCGATCGTCCTTGAGGTCAACAGCATCATACTGTTCTAGGGACAGTCGGGGCCACAGTGATGTGTATATTTCGGAGCATGTTATGCCTTATGCTGCAAATAAGAATAATATGTACTCTACCCCCAGGGTTTTAAATTCTTGCAGCAATAGACGTGTGTACAAGAAAATGCCTAGTATTGAATCTGATGTTTAAAATCTTCCATTAATGTTTTATCTATAGGGAAACATGTGATTGACAATGTTCTGGAGGGTAAATGTTGGATGTCCGATAGTGCCCTGCTAAGAGGAAGAAGATTTAGGGAGATTTTTTTTTTTTTTTGGCTCTTATGCACATGGCTCCATGCCATAATCTTCCACTCAAGGAGTCTTATGAGATTTGTGCTAAGTATGACAGATACCAGATAGGTGGGTCCTTAACCTAAAACAAATACATAAATAAGGGCAAGTCTCTGGGACATGCCTACTAGGCATGCTGGCAATAATGATGCACTGGATGCTGATGGTGATGTTATGATTTCCTATATTCCAAATTCCATTAAGATCAGTCCACCATGTAATTTCTTCATCCGAAATGCCTAATGGTTTCTCTAATACAGAGTAAGCAATATGGTATGCATGTAAATCTGACACAGACAATAAAACAGTTAAGAATGCATCTGCACCATAGTGCGATTGACATGTGCAAGAGATTAGGAAGTTTGGCTTGTAACAGTTCTCAGCTTTATTGTCATGCCTTCCCTTCACAGCCCAGGCCCCACCCCAAGAAATCCAGGCTCCCCCAAAGAATAGCAAATCAATGTGTCCGTGGTATCTGTGTTACCTTCGTTAGATAGTCCATTCCCAAAACATATCTGGAACAAAAAGCCAGAGACACTCTCAGGCAGAGAGCTACAAGAATCTCTTTGGATGTTGATGTGTGTGTTTCTCTCACTTTTGACTTTGATGGTCTTGTTCAGAGCTGCATAAACTAACACGTCTTCGATGTCTAAGTGTGGATCTTCTGTCTATGACACAGTGGCCATTGTAGTTTATCCTGAAGACTCCTCTGTATGTAAGTTTGCATTTTCTCCCTTCTGGTGATGACTCAGGGTTGTATAGTATCTGTTACCTCGTCCTTCCCAGAGTATCTATAACCTGTTCAGTCCCCAAACAGCCATGATGGCATCTAATTAGCTGTGTGTTGCTGTTCCCAGAGTTGTTAATGTGGTAACACGTGCCAACAGCCATATGTGTACCGTGAACTGTAAGAAATGCCATACCATCTGTCTGCCTAAGGCTAACATGGTCCTTTAGGTTTGTCTTCCTTAATGTCATGAAACTCTCTTGAACACTCATTTCCACCCGACCTGTTCAGGTCAAAGGCCTTCAAACCATGATACACTCAGGCACCTACCCTGAGCACCTCCAAACTGTGGAGAAACTAAGTGAGAAAAGTGGTTTCTCTCTTCTGAAATATTCTTTCTATTGGAAGAAAACTACTTCACCAGCACCAACAGATACATAAAAAAATTCTCAATGCATTTATCATTTCTGAGCCACTTGCACCATTCCATTCTTATGCTACTTCATATATGATATGAAAGATAGTCATTATTTAAAACAGTTAGAGCAAGAAGGGGGAGACTGAAGAATGGTAAGCTTCTTCGCGTAGCATCTCCCTGAAACAAAAGTGTTGACAAAAAGGTAGTTGTTATGTTATGAAAGTTTTCAAATGGGATTTTCTAGTTAAAAAATGAAATACCATAAAACCAGCAAACAATACTAAGTAAGCATTTTATATGGTTCTACTACATGAATTGGTATAGTTTAAATACATTAATATTCTTGAAATAATTAGGCTAACTAACCATCAGGTTTTGCAGAGGACCTCAGTCTGTTTGGGGGCATACAGCAGAACCCTTAAGCTCAAGTGAGTGAGCCTGGCCATTTCCCAGTTTGTTTCTTGCATTTTGTTTTGAGTTTTTGAAGAAGGAGACAAAATGGCAGGCTGAAAATTTACCTTGTATCTTTTCCTGGCGTGTATTCTCTTTTGTAAGTAGTATTTTCCTGGAAGTGGGTAGGTGCCAGAGTTGATTCTCTTAGAACACTGAATGGCTCTATCTTTGAAAAAGTGCACCTGACCTACAATGTTTCTATAATGATGAAAAGTGTCTGCAATAAGTTTGAGGGTCTGTGGTGGAATAGCAAAGGGAAGCAGTGGGAGAGAGCATCTTTCAATCATCCCTGAAAAGCGGAAGGGGCTGAAGTGATCCTGAGGACCAGTGTGCTTAAAAATGACACTATTTCTCGTATGCTGTCCCTTTGCTGCTCCAATACCCAGCAACAGAGAAGGCTGGACTGATGGACCTTGAACAGTCACCCCTATTTCTGATCTTAAATTTAAGTTTCTGTGACTGTATCTTCTTTTTAGCACTTTCTGCCTTTGCTTTCCCATTACATTCAGACCCGTGTCTGCCCTGCTAAGATCACCTCCATGTCCTCGCAAGACTAGCGTGTCTTAACATGAAATAAATTAAAAATCTCCCTGGCATACAGAGCAATGATATGGGATCAATCCAAAGAAGATTTCTGCCTTCTTCTAGTGTTCTCAAAGACAAGAGGGCTGCCAGATGCCACAAAATCTCTAGGGAGAGTGCAATTACCCTTGGATTGACTTGATATGTCAAAAAGCCTGCTAATAACAGCATTAGTTCCACTATTAATGCCATAAGTATCTTGATAAAGAATTTAAAATGTGTTTTTTGGAAGAATTAAAAACAATGTAGTTGAAAAAAATGCACCTCTTTTAGCATCCTCCACTAAGGCACTGGTTCATAAATGTGATGATTTCCAAAAAGAAAACCAGAGGGTCAGTTTTCACAGAACAAATAATGTTATGGAGCCATTCAAAGGTAACCCAGATCAGTTAATTTTTGGAAAAAGAATATCCAAAATATAAAATTCACTGGTAAATGGTAAAGAAGTAAAGAAGGGTAAAGAAATAACTATAAAGCTCTGAACTATGGGCCCATTACCAAGGATTCCTGTGATACACTCTAGCTCTGAGATCTTAGATTTGATGCCAAAAGGCAAGGATCTCTGAAGTCAAATGCCTGAGTTTTACTTGGCTTAAGTCAGAGTTGCATCTATAATGATGTTTCACTAATAAATGGTTTCCCCACTTGGGAAGGATCCACTGGTCCTCAAATAGGCATACCTGGATGCAGCAGTCAGATTTCTGTCCATGGGTAATAGCACATACATATGACCTATTAAAATATTCTTTAAGGCAGGCTTCCAGCGCATGAACTCTACTCTGGGGAATCATAGTGTTCTGAAATATAGTTGCATCATCTTTACACCTCCTGGTTCTTAGGCCGCATCTAGACCCACTGCTCCAAGTGGTCAAGTCCCCAGTGGATCTATCTTCCTACCAATGAGATCTCCCTGAGAACTGAGGGGCTATAACCTCACCATTCACGACTGCTCTGTCCTCTGCAAATCTCCTTCCATTATTTCAGGTAATCCCATGACTGTCTTGTGGATTATACTTGGGTTTCTCTTCCCTGTTTCACAAAATGCCTAAGAGAACTTAATAGTTAGCTTTCCTGATGAAAGCATTAAAATTCACCCATTGCAGCAAAATCTGTCAAATAAATTCACACTTATTTTCTGGAGAAAAAAAGAAAACTACACCTTGTTTACAAATGAAATAGTTTCATTTAAATGGGATTTTAGCCAAGGCAGTTAATTAGTCAAAAGATCCATGTTAGTCACACAGTCATGCATTGTTTATTCTATTTGATATGCCTACCATTGATGTGTATTTAATATTCTGCATCCTTCTCAGGAAATGACAAATGCCCTGAATTCTTTGCAAATAGAATTGCTAATGAGAAAGAAAAAGAAAGTTGGTGTTAATTAAATGGTGATTAAAAATTTATCTCCTTTAAACCTAAAAAGTGCAGCTTTAATAATCGGTTGTCATATAAACAAATACCTTGCACTGAAATCCCTTGCTGTTTAAGACCTAGATAAATACTAATTTGAGAAACCTAAATATCTTTCAGAGGAGCTGAATACACTCGTTAGCATTATGCACATTCCTGTACTGTTTCTTTGTACATAGCTGTTGTGCATGAACCCTTGGGAAGGGGACATGAGTTGCTTCCCAAAGGGAGCTTGTTCTTGTTCGCATTAACCATCACTGTAGTAGACATAATTGGACTTCAAGGAAAAGAATTTCAGTAGGTGGAACCCAAATGCACTGGTTGATATTTAATACAAGATAACAGTTCTATGTAAATGTGATTTTCCTTCCAAAAGCAGTGTTTATTTTCACTTGAGTCAAAATTAGGCTTCTCTGATACTCCATCTTTGTTGGATAAACAGGGTTGAAAGTGCTTATTGAGAGATTATGTGGGGTCTACACTTGAAAAGTTCTCCCAATATGCAGCTTCCCTTTCTCATCCCATTCCTTTATATTGTACTGTGTTCATAACTAATTGTTTCAGATGAGGTCAGCTTGCCACCTGATACAGATCAAAGATGATCAAACGCACTCGTCCTGTGAATACAGATGCTTGTGTATACATGTATATAATATATGTGCTTGATTTCTGCAGTTCACACAGATGTGTATTATCCAGATAAAGCTGTACATATTGTAAAGTTTATGTTTAAAAATTAAGTGGTAATGATTGTACTGACACATGGAAAACCCATTCTAGTTTTTTGATGGTTTCTGTAGAGAGGACACTATATTTTTTTAATCTCAGTTCTCCGGAGGATAACAGAGCCCAAGTAGTATTTGGGTGTTGGTTTTCTTGGCCCCTTAAAAAATAAGAATCTGGGTGAAGGGCGTGGAATATATGCTGCTCACATTCACTTCTGAAGACAATGCTAATAAGGACTATCCATCAAAACACACAGATTTCCTATTTAAACTCCTTATCCTCTTTCCCACTCTCCTATATGTTGTCTGTGTCCAGAAGTGCTCTCGGGGTGGTATCAGCTGCAGGTGCCTGCCCAGGAGCATCTCAGAAAAACCGAATTTGTAGAACTACACCAAGATCTGGGGGAAATGGAAGGGAGATGAGAAAATGAAATCTGCAAAGGGGCAGTAATTTGTATAAGGGCATCAAGTCAGAGAGCATCAGAGATGGGGCTGGAACCCAAGACTTTTTGGTCCAATTTCTTACCATGTCTCAGTTTCTTTCAGGAGAGCGTTTCTGAGTGCCTGCAGAAGAGTCAGAGAGACCCACTAAGCTGGCTTTCTTTGCCTCTTTGCCCTGTGCAGACCCATGCATGCCTTTATGAATTTGAATCAAGGTCCTTCATAATCTCTCGTTGTCTCAGAGTCTCAGAGAAGAAAAAACTTTTTTCATTGACCTTTCTCCCAAGAAGGAACAATGAAAAATGTGGATTAAAATTTCAAACCAAAGACAAAAGCTGGCAACAATCACTGAAATCATAGTTGTATTTCCTGGGCACCAAGGTTCAACCAAGCATCTTGATCATGTAATTGCACTTACCTGAGTGCCCATTCATTTTGAAATCCAGTTTAGGATTAGGGAGTTGTAAAGCGAACAGAAAATCTAGTCACTTCTTGTAATGGTTTAGAAGTTTAATTCCCTAATACAAAAGATAATTAAAGACCATAAAAGGCAAATGGACTAAACAGTAAAAATTAGAAATGACCAATGAAATTGTTTCCAGGAAATAAATATTAATCTGATTCCATGATCAAACTTAGAAAAAAACAGGGCTCTCCTCAGACTGTTTTGTAACTCTGAAGAATATGACTGGTGCTCCTACAGATGGCCTGGATGGATGTGAACCTTTAGAAAAGGTGCTTGGGGAATGCAGAAGCCACTACACAGGTGAACAAACTCACCCTTCTGAATTTTTGCACAGGCTGGCTTGGGTCTGCTTCCAACCAGTTCTCCAAACTTTAGCAAATCCTGCTTCTTTTTGGCTCTGCTTTATGACATGCGCTTCAAAAAAGGTAAAAAAAAAATTCCTCAAAGGATTAGAAAATAGACCGTGATGTTAAAAAACAAAATATTTCCTGAAATCTTTTTCCTTTGTTTTGTTTTTGGCTTGTGAGGAGCGCTTTCAATAGTCCAGGGTTTGGGTAGAAGGGGAGGGGGAAATAGGGAGAACCTTTTATCGAGTCCCAAGTGCCTACTGTTGTGGCTGGTACAAGCAAGCATCAAGTTCCCTAGAGAGAAAATGGGGCAAGGAGATGACTAAAGGAGCCTAGGTGTATTTGAGAAGAGATGGCAGAGTAGAGAGGGTGGAGAGGGAGCTTTTCTTTACTCTGTCCATCCCATTCTGGGTAGTGCTGGAATATTAGATTCTGTGCTCATCACAAGGACATTGCATATATCGGCACCTGAGTCTGAAAATATAAAAAATACATCTACATTGAGTATAAAGCAGCCTAGAACACAATCCTCAAAATAACAAGATATAAATATGATTGCTCCCATTTTACAGATAGGGAAACTGAGGTTTAAGTACTCAGCCTCATCAGAAACAGGAGTTAGCCAATAAATTTCTAACCTTAGACATATTAGACATAACCTTAGACATATTCTTGAAGTGCCTGATCTCCTCCAGGGAGTTCAGAATAGAAATGCGCCCGTGCGTGCATGCGAGAGTGAGAGAGAGAGAGCAAGAGAGAGAGAGAGGGAGAGAGAGGGAGAGAGAGGGAGAGAGAGGGAGGTTTGAGTTTTGAGGTTACCGGGCTTTCTCTCGAGTGCCAGTGTCTGTGATGAGGAGCTTCGGCATTGTCCTATCGTCCTACCCTTGCCATCTGGTGGGGGTATGTCAAGTACTGAGAGGGACCTCACCTCTCTTCAGAGTCCCCTCAGAGACATGTACGCTGCTGGTGTCTCTCTTCCTTCATGTGCTTGTACTCAGCATTTTTTTCTTTTTTTTGCTTCCTGGGGAATTACTTTCTCTACTTAGCATGTGCCTAATCTTAAATATCCCTTTCCTAATCTCTCTTCTTTTTATCAGTTTAAATCAGGGCTAATTCCATTAAGCATGTGTACATAGTGTGCTCTCCTCTGTGTGTAGGGACACACACACACACACACACACACACACACACACACACACACTGCCTTGTGGCCCTCCATTAAAGCACTCCTAAACATTGTGACCCATTTTTAAAGAGGTGATGTCATTTGTAAGTCAACTGTTCCTCTTATTCCGTCTGTACGTTTGCTTATTTCTGCCAGGCAGACAGAATGAGGTTCAGAGGTGGGAGAGCGAGTAGAGAAAAGAGTTTTGCCCAAAAGATTGAGAGCATTAAGGTAATCGCAATGACTGAGGGCCGATTATTGAAATGCTGTTGCTGTTTACTTTCTTGGTCCGTCCTATTTTTTGAATTGCTTTACAGATGTTTTCCTGGCTGCAGCCTCAGGATAACTGTTCAACCACCGAACGCTTATTCATGTTGTTCCATGACAAGTGTTGAAGTAGAACATTTCTATCGGGCTTCCTGGTACCCAGAATGGCACGGTGTTAAATGCATGCTGTAGGCAACGCCCCTAGGCCCATACATGCCTTTCTTTGCATCCTTTTCTTCCTGTGTTCTAAGCCTCTCTTCTTTTTTTGGTACCGGGGATCGAACTCGGATCCTTCCGCTTGCAAGGCAGGCGGCGGAACCACTGAGCTAAATCCCCGGCCCCCAAGCCTGTCTTCTTTTTCTGGCATTTATATTTGCTATGAGGTGGGTCGCATTAGCCTATTTTATAGGTGAGAAAACAGAGCTAGGCCTGGAAGGGATGGTCTCTGAGGGTCTCCATGGCTTACTCTTTCTGGAGGACCGCTAATCCTAATGCAAGTACCCATGTCCTAGTCCCTGAGAAATTCTTTCACCTTTCAAGCTGGCAGTAAAAAAACCTATTAAGACAGGAAGAACATTATTATTTAATAGCTATTTTGAGATCCTGTTGTTGTTTCTGCAAGTGTGTAGCAATATTGTCCCAGGGATGTTGAACTACGGAGAAAGTAGAGCACCCCAAAGAATAATTTGGCCAATCTTGCTTCTTCTTTGGAGGCCTATTTCAGAGTATGCAATCCTCCAGGGAGCCAGAACCAAATTGCTTAAAATGGAGTCATTCTTCAGATTAACTTCCTCAAGTAAGGTGTCAGCAGTCAGCAACAACAAACAAAACAAAGCAGATTACCACTGGTAAATCCCTCTTATGTACCATGTCAAGGGACAATGAGTTTGCATTTTTGCAATGGCAGAACATTCCTCATTAGCAGCAGGCCTGGGTCATGACCTCTTCCAGTTAATTCTCCTTTACACCTTTGGGAAGGATTGAAGATGAGCCTTCAAGAGGGTATTAGCATAATGCATAGCCCATACTATGGCTGCCTTTTAAATTAATAAGGTTAATTGTTCTCCAGCACACAAATTTGTCTTTGACATTTTAAATGTTCCACATTGATCTGACATTTCACTGTTTCAAGCTCTTAAAGGGCTTAAATCAAAGACTATTGATAATTGAGCAAACAGTGAAGGCCCACAAATATAAAAACACTGTCAGTTTTTCCATGACAAACAATCCTAGCCTTTTGAATCCAATGGAGGTTTTTACATTAGGCATCTAAGACTTATTGAATTATTTCTATTCTCAGTTAAGCTAATTCAAGTGAATGAACAGTATTGACTTTTTAAACCTATTTCACTTTTTTTAATCTTAAGTTTATTAGATTTGTAGACACAGCTTTGAGCCATGATCAGTAAGGAAATGTTCTGGTTTAGAAAGAGAAGATTTTACGACAAATTCAAGGGGTCATCTTTGAAAATTTTGATGGATTTGAGAAGATGAAAGTGTAACCTTCATGTCCCCAGATTTTCCATTAGGAAGGATGCCAGTTGCCTAGTTTTTCACATAAAATAGTAGGTCAAGAATAACATTTTCATAGAAAATGCAATCATTGCTCGATACAAGTAACTACATAGCTAGATGTGGCTCATACATTTTCCAAGCCTGAGGGTCCTTAAAGATTTTTTTTACCAGCTGTTTTAAAACTACAAATGCCAATTTTTTTTCATTCCCCTGCTAACATAAATTTAAAAGCATATACTTGCCAAATTAATTAGTAGAATTTATCATAGTTTATATCACTCTGGAATGTTTATGTGTATGTTTTTATGTATAGTATATATTTTATATATATATATTTCAAACTGAGTATTCAGAATGAATTACGTGAGTTAATTGGTGACTTGAATAAGAAGTAGATCATAAAATTATAAATAATGGCCTTCTCAGACAGAAAAAGAGGGTAAACTTACTCATTTTTCACTCATGCTGTAAGACTCATTTCATAATATACAAGCTGGTCATTGTCCACAGAGTTCCTGAATTAAACAGCTTATACATAAAGGATCTATGCCTGAGTCCATTTTTAACCCAATAGGGATGGAATTGAATTCATATGCAGAGGGTTTCCACTCACAGCTACGTTCAAACACTGTCTAAAACACATCTGAACTGGCTTGATCTCTTGTATGGTGGAGCCCAAAGCAAGCTGTGTGCTCCACTCACTGGTCTTCATTTAGGAAGAAGATCTTCACTTACCAATCGCAGCAATTTATATCTGTCATGTTTTAATCCACTGCATGAGGAAGTGCTAATAACTGTATTAAATATTTCCAAGCATAGCTACAAAATTACACGTTTGCTTAACACCTTTCTATGATAGAGGAAGTATATACTATGGTTGTCTTCTTGTAGTGTGTCTTTTAATTTTGTTCAATGTGTTATCAACTGTTTTAAGGAATGGGGTTTGAAATGTGTGTGCAAAATGATATGTACATAACTCGTGAGGCAAAAGAAGTGCCCGATCATATGGTGTAAAAATGTAAATACAGGAAAATTTCATTTTTCTAATAAAGATAATTTCTGCCAATTGATATGAAAATGAGAAATGGAGTTGTGGTCTTTGTTGTTGTTGCTGGTGCTGTGGGCATTGCTAATGTCTCTGCAAACTTAGTATTGGCTCAAAGGGGAAATACAGTGGGACTTCAGTTTACAAACTTCATTTGTTTTACAGCTGTGAGGAAGATGGCTGTGTTTGTGTTTGTGTGGGGAAGATGGCTGTGGTTGTGTTTGCTACCCAATGTGAAGTTTGGAAACAGAAGCAAAATTTTGCCAAACACTTTTGTTTGTGGACAGAATTGTTTGGAAACAGAAGGATTTGTGAGCAGAGGGTGCAATATTACTGTGACTTTGTGCAGTAGAGGAGTAGAGGGAGGGATGGGACTGAGGGGATTCAGGCACCAGCTTATCCACTGACCCTTAACTGGGTGCCGCCTTCCTGTGCTGCTCTTGTTCTTGCAGACTTGACACTGATGATATTGGCCTTCGTCAAGAACCACTCTTCTCTGTGTGACTTAGAGAAGGCCACCAGTGCTCCTCACTTATTTACCTACACCCATGTCAGGCACAGATTCTCTACCTTCCCATCCTTTGTCTCACAAATGATTAATGAAATGTTCATCCCCACTGGCCAATCAGCACACATTCCTCAGAACAAGACTCCCCCAGTATCCCTCATTCTTAGGACATAGCACTGCTACTGCCCTGACTTCTCAGGCCAAATACCTATTGGTCATCCTTCTCTCCCCTCACATACAGTCCATCGCCCACCTATCTGCATGGCCTTTAACCTACATTCAAGATCTGCCCACATCTCATCCCTTCTGCCACTATTGGCCAGTCCATCGTAGCCCATCTATAACACTATGATAGTTTCTCAATACATTTTCTCACTCTGTTTTTGCCTCCATGTTTACCTGTTCTCCAGTAGATGGGATAATCTGTCCAAAGTGTGCCTTATATAATATAACTCACCTGCCCTCAGGGCTTTAGTGCTTTTCCACTGCAATCAGAACCAAACCCGAATTCTTACCTATGACCTCACACCTTGGTCTGCTTCTGTTTCCTCCTCTTGCACTGCCACTTTGTGGCATGTCACTCAGATCTAGACAGGCAGAACTTCTCTCTCTTCAAAGAAACCCAACACAGGGCCTTTGCACTTGCTACTGCTTCTCTATGTAACCAACCCTCCAGATCTTTTCCTGACTTTCTCTTTTATCACATTTAGGACTGTTAAAATTACATCTTCTTAAAGAGACATTGTATGACCACACTATCTCAAATAGAATCTTCTCCATCACTGTCTCCTTACTATATTCTTTTTGTCCCTATAGCACTTCATGCACTCTGAGATTTTATCATAGCTTTTTACTGATTTGTTCATATGAGAATATTTGTTCAAATGAGAATAGGAACTTGGTCTATCTTGTTCACTGGTCAGGCCCCAATATATGATGCAGTGTCTGGTTTCTGGCTCCTGGTAGGTATGCAAGAAATATTGTAAGGATTGATGAATCAATAGATCACTGGATGGGTAAATTAGTAGATGACTGTTTTTGGTTAAAAATTAATTGATTGGATGGATGGACAAGTAGAAGGAATAAAGTCATTGATAGATAAATATGTGACCACATAGGTGAAATATGATGGAGGCATATGGTTGGGTGGATGGAAAGATGCCTTTGATCTCAGTAAGTAGTCCCTAGGCTTTGTGCTCATTTTATCCTTATCCTGGGACACTTAATATATGGCAAGGTGTGTATTTCCTCTCAGAAGAATGGCCTCTCACAGTGGTAACTAAGGATGAGGGCTTACATGACTCTGAATGAGGGATTAAAAATACCCTTCACCTATTTATAACATTCCCCCACTCTCCTCAGTGTTTCCACTGGTTCTCAGGGAGCAGTTCATGAAGCATGTCCTGTATATCAACCACCATGGACTCAGGACACAAACAGAGGAATTCACAGGGTGCTGTTGAAATAAAAATGGAGCCTGCATCACATACAAGGCCATCATACCAGATTCTTCCACCTACAAGTCTCCCAGCTTACTGAAAAGCAGGAGAAGGTGGGAAATAATAAGTTTCTCTCTCAGAAACTTATTTCACACATTATATACTTAATCTGTACAAGACCCTCCTCATTGGTAGATGATAGTCTTGTGATAGCAGAATCTTTGAGAATCTTTAAGAAGATAGTGGCTTCCAATAGAAGCTCTTCCACTTGGGGCCTAGGCTAGTTTGGATAGGGCAGTGGTATTTCTGTCTAAGTGCTCTAACATGGCTGCTGAGCCCTATTAATGACAGCTGCTCTTGTTTAAAGAACTCAGTGTTTTCTCTCCACTTCAGTAAGGTAGACCATCAGCCCTGAGTCCCTCCAGCAGACCTTTCACTCAGTCTGACCTTATAAGATGGAGTGAAAATAATCTTGAGAAGAATTTTCATTCAGACATTTCCCCTTTGGTCACGACGAAGTCAGGAATGGCACAGATTGTTGCTCCCTCATGGTGGCAAGTAGCTTCCATCCATGGAAATATTTGATTTGGGAGAATTTGCCTGGGACAGAAGTGGAACTTCCAGAAATGCTAATGCATAGGAGGATCATAAAAGATCAGCACTGAGTTCAGATGGGTAACAATCCATTGTAGACCCAAAGAGATGGAGGTAGATCATGTCTTAGGCATAGGTTTTAAAATCTTTCTCCCTGTTCAGATGCATCAGACCCTCAAATGAGTGGATGGCATTATAGAGCAATAAGATAATTAGAAGATGCCTAGAATCCTGGAGCCCCTTTCTTAAATTTCTACCTGCCCTGGGCTTCTGTTTCCTCTCTTTACAGATGAAATAATTAAGGCTGGGAGAAATGGAATACATTATTCTAATTCACACAGCTTTTTTCAGGCAAGGCTTCATGACTGAATCTGGCAGGAGGGACTGAGATGGGTGTAGGACATGAGTATTTCTTGAGCACTTGCTGTGTACTGCACCTAGACTTTGAGCCACTTTCACAAACATCATGCTATTAAATCCCTCCATCCATAAGAAAATACTTATCTGAGATGCTTTTCTAATACACCACGCTTCAAACTCCACATGGTGTGCATCATGGGGCCAACAGAACAATTATGGCATGAAATTGTAGCATCATGAGCAGCACAACTTTTCTTCAATCCCAAAATAACCTGTAACGTGTGAAGGATTGTTGGCTTCATAACAACAAATGACATTTCTGTGATTTTTTTTTGCTGCAAAACAACCTTATCACACAAGTTATACTGCTTTTTATCTGTACCAGGGGAATGAACTCAAGGCCTTGCACTGAGCTACATCCCCAGATCCCTTTTTAATTTTGTTTGAGATAGCATCTCACCAAGTTTCTTAGGCAGACCTCAAACTTGAGATCCTCCTGCCTCTGCCTCCTGAGTAGCTGGGATTATAGATGAGTACCACATACCTGTTTTTAATTGTTATATATTTCAATTATTTTTAATTACTACCACTTAACAGATGAGGAGAGTGAGACCCAGAGAGAGAAATGACTTGATTCCAGTCACTGAGTTGATAACTGGCAGCGGAAGGAGGCTTCGAACCCAGATGTGCCAACTCCACACCCTGAACTCTTACAGTACAGAGCTCTTTCCAAAGAAAAGACAAATGCTTCCCTTTTCTTTCCATCATTCCATCTTCTGTGCTCCCTCTCTGCACCAGCCTTTCCTTCAGTGCAGCTGAAGATGGGCTATTTCCAACACATTTCCCATGAACTGAAGTGGCACTAAATACCATCATTGCTGTGAAACTAATCGGCAATTTGTGAGATGCCTGTACATCCATGTAGCCCCATTTAGGGGCATAATTATTTCCTAATGAGGAGGCGATTTGTACCTGAGGCTTGGGACATTGGCTTCTACCAGTGACATGGCTCTCTGGAATGCTTCACTTCCTTTCTTTCCCCCCCAGATTCTACTGGCTGAAGCCAAATGAATAGACAGCTGAGCAAACTTAATTAACAGACAGTTCATGTCCTGTGAGAGGGAAAAGCTCTCACTTGCCAGTCAAATTTGCAATAAGTCCAAGAATGAAACCAAAAGTGTTGTCTCTTGGAAGACCCTGTAATCTTCTGTTACTAATGGCGTAATTGGGGTCATTTATGTTCTTTTCTGAGAGTTCTGAAAAAATTTGTCAATATTCACTAAATTAACCCATCTTTGTAAAGAGTCCTTTCAGAACTGTTTAGAGCACTCCTTGGTAGTAGAGATTATAGCCCCCATTTTACATTTGAGGGAAGCCAAGCCAGACCACGGAAGGGACCTCCTTAAGCTCGTGGAATTGGGTGGTCACTGTGAAAACGAGGCAAGCAGGTCCCCATCCCATGATCCACACCCATGACTGTGCATCTCTACCACCATGGTCATGCTACCTAGAATCCATCAGCATGCAGGTGAGGATAGTCACTGTGTCCCTAATGCCTTTGCACGCTACTAGTGCTCAAAAGCTATTTTTAAATAAGTAGCAAAAGGAGGAGTCAGGAATTCTGAGTTCTCAGTCACATTCTTGTGGTGTGATCCTTGGCCATTCACTTCCTCTCTGAGTCTTCTCTTAGCCTTCTCATGCATCTTGATGAAATGGGGTTTTATTAGCCCAATTCTGCCTCCTTCACAGGATTGTCCAGAGACATTTTTCACTATACAGTAAAAAGGATAGTATTTTTAAATTTTTGTACATTTTTTAGCTCTAAAACTTAAGAATTGTACTCAAATAAGGTATATACAAAGAAAAACAATTGACTTAGGAAGTAGCTGGAAGCCCAGGCCTTCTGATCTCATCTTGCTTCTCCTTAAGATTTACAAGTGATCCATAAATTAGAAATGATACAGCAGGACTTTTGCCAAAGGAACCTGATAAAAAGTGTCCCCATGCTTTGCTTCTGCCTCTCCAGAGTCCTGAAAATTCCAGGAAGCCATGTGCAAATCTTCTTAAGGAAGCAGAAAATAAAAAGGCCTCTCCCTATATATATTATTTTTTGCTCTTGGAATTTCCAAAAT